TGTTATGACGACCTGCCACATGAGTGATATCTTCTTATTTTCTAATATATTTTTTTGTTTTGCTTAATTTAAAATTTCCAAACAGCAATGAATTAAGACTGAACTGATATATTAACTTTTTGTGATACCTTAAAGTTTAAGGCTTAAACAAAGATTTTCCATTTAAGTACTTATGTATTCCTTTAAACAACAGCAACGAAGTAAGACTGTATAATATTTTTTTGTGATAATAAAATACGCCATTTGCAAAAAACTGCAATATTTCTTTTTCGAAAATGTGCTAAGTCCAATACATCCAAGTGCAAATAACTCCAGAAAAAGGCTTATATAAAGGCGCTCATTAAATTTTTTATTATATTTTTTTTTGTACTTAAATGAAATATCACAGTTGACAAAACTGCGTTAGTAAAATAAAAAAAATTTTGAACTTCAATTTTTATTCAGTTCCTTTTTTTTTTTAATAATTAAAAAATGGCACTTAGCACCTTTGCACGTTAAGCCGACGAAATGTGTAATTATGGCAATACTTATTATCTGCCAACAAGGAACACTTTTGTTATTGTGCATGGAAGAAAATTGTGTTAAATATTAAATGCTTATTTTAAGTAAATAACTAAATAATCTCTGAAAAATAAATATGTAGAAACAATGTAATGAATTGTAAGTGCACAATATGGAATAAATAATTACTAGAAATCGAGAAATTGCAAGATAAAATTTGCAAATTTTTCAACTTTAAATGCAAATATCTCGAAAACTTTAAGTTTGCGGCAGCAACAATTATGTATTTTCTTAATCTGGAGCATCAGCCATATCCAACCATACCACTTTTAACCCCGAAATCATGGAATGGTATACTAAAGCCGACCCATATTATTATATATTACTTATTTGCTTAATAAATTTAAAAAATAAAATATCCATATGCATGAATAGGGGAATTTTTGGGGAAAAAAGGAATTTCAGCGAATTTCCTTATTATCACATGGCACCGCTCCATTTCGTTGTAATTTTGAGAACACAAATGATGTTCACTACGTGTGTAAAATGTAATTTTTAAAATAAAGATTTATTTTGTAAAAAAAACCTGCTACAAGTGTAAAATGTGGATTTATTTAAAAGTTTATAGTTTAATTTAACTAAATAGAAGAGAAAAATGTGAATAAAGTTGTTAAACGTGGTGAAATAGCTTCTTGAAATGTTCGAAATTTGGGAATTTTTGAACTTTAGGGTCGAATATCTCGTAAACAAAGTTTGCGGTACTTATAACCCTATATATTTTTAATCAGGAGGACATCCTCTTTATAACGGTACCTTCAAATTGCGGCGCCAAAGATATCGGAATTGTGCCGTACATAGTATTTCACAATGTTTCACTAAATATTTTCACATTTTTAACTTTTAAATTTAAATATACACTATGAACATTGAAAAATATTCACATTTCACTTTTATTTTATTATATAATATTTTAGCAAAATTTATTAATTTAAAAATCTGTTAGGATTGATTAGGTTCAAAAGGTTAGATAGGTTATAATTATGAGGAAAAAGAGCGTTGACACATCTCAAACACCAAATATGTAGGATTTTCAACTACAGGCCTTACTTTGTTTGTATTTTCGCGTAATTCTTTTTTTCCTTATTATTAAATTTAAATCATATCGGGATGACTGAAGCACTTTCGTGTAATACTCCTTTTCTCTTTGGCGGATTTCGGCCGCGCTTAAAAAAAAATTACCTTAGCGAGCCAATACCAGGGTGACTGAAGTACTTTCGCATAGTATTCATTTCGGCACAATTCCGATCTACCTCAAACGCTAAGTTTACGTGATATTCGACTTTAAAGACAATCTATTCGACCCTTTTGTAATTCTAATATATGGTAGATATTATTACTACTAAAACTATAAACTAGTATTAAATACACCTATTAAATAACTCTATATACATATATTAGTATTGTAAAAGTTCTTACTTTGTCATACAGATTTTTTTTCTCCATTGAATTATCATCGTGATCGTCCACATAAGATATAGTTTTGTGAGCAAATGTATTTGAATTGTTGTCTTCTTTGAGAAATACTTCAAACAAGTTGGAAAATGCAATCCCAGCAAGAATACACACGACTGGAGTAAGAGTTAACATTAAACGCACCATAACACCGGCAAAATATACAGCACTAATGGCATAAAGTATAACGAAAACACGTTCATCATTAACATTCTTTATGCAGTACCAAATTCCAACTGGAAACGAACAAACGAGTATATGCAAATCGAAGAAAAAAGAAAACCATGTAGTCGGTTGATGTTCCGATACCGAGGCAATAATAGGGATATGTATTTTAGCATATCCAGTATCCCATAATGAATAAAATCGACCACTCCACGGAGCAATAATACCTAATACTGTAAGAATAACCACACCAGTAAATACTATAACCGCAGCCGCTATGACTCCAAAGAGATATATTTTGCGATATTCACTTCGAGATAATACACTTTGTAAGTGACGAAGAACTGCGATAATAAGCAAAAGTACAAATATTCCCAGAGCGGCCATGTGCTCACTTGTTCGTATAGGTTGAAAACCTACAAACGGTATTTGCATCGATAATAGTAGTCCCAAAATGTAGAACGTCGAATAGCTGGTTAGAATCCTCTCAGAGTACCGACCCATTAGAATAAGGACAAATACGTGAAGTGGTATTAAGTTAGTAATAAATACATATCCTCCCCATGCCGATACCATGTAAAAATAAGATAGTGCTGCTCCAGCCGACCAAAAAACGGATCCAGTTTTCAATGAACGTACCCATAAGAAATATGTAAATTGCAGTGCAAATATGGCAATTCCTTCGTTATCGTAAGAGCCTGCTACTGAACGACTTATATAACCAGGAACAATAGCTATAAAACTTGCAGCAAAAAGCCCTGCTCCCCGGGACCATAATTCACTAGTGAGCAAATAGGTTGAAATCGATGTTAATCCACTAAAAATTGGTGCCAAAAAAACGCAAATATCACGTATATGTATCGGTATATTCAAGGTGTGTAAAATGTAGTGTATGCAACCAGAAGTTATCATAAGTCCTGGATATACCGTTCCACCAACAATTCTTCCCAAAGGATACCAGGCTCGTTCATCAAACCAATTCAAAAATTTATAAAATCCATGTTGCACCATATACCCTGTAGCGCGGTAATTAAACCATGGATCGAACTCATGAATAATAGATTCAAATCGAATCACTGCGAATAAGCGTGAAGAAAAACCGGCAAGCCACGCAATCAAAAGTACTGTGAACGTTATTAAACTTTTATAACCAACAGATCTCCTTGATACTACTCCGGGCGAATGATTCATTATTCTAACAAATATATTCTATATGAAGGAATTCACAGTTCATCTACTCTAATTAAAAAATAAAATTAAGAAGGTACACGTAGTCACTGCTTATCGTGTTTCTAAATAATATTTTAATAGAGACACACATTCGACATCGATGCCTAACGCCACATCTCGACAAGCAACAAATGTTGCCTCGACAATTGTATTTCTCATTATTGCCGCAAGCTATTGTCGAACGTTCAATATTCATTTTGATATCTAATAGCAGGAACAGTCAAAAACGCTACTGCCTTCCTCCCTTTTCCTTCCTCATCGGCAAAATGTGTGAGCAGTGAAAAACGTGGCAAAAACGCAGAATTCAGCCATCTTTGTTTCTTTTCATTTGCACAATGTTGCCATGCGCATATATAGTTTTGCACACATCTATGTTTTCAATTACAATTTTTTATAGTATAAAATATCAAAACTGAAAACAAACTATTAAAAATAGTTTATATATTTATAAATAATAGCATTCGACTCTGATTTTGAGTTATTTTGTAACCTTGTAACCAACCAACTCTCGAGTTCGAGGATTGGATTGCTAAATATATGACCAACTTGGTGAATAAATTGATAACTTCCATAAATTAATATATGCAACAATTGGGAATTAATTTGGGAAATTACGGGAAAACCTTTTTATAATTTGGGAACGAACAGTTAATTAAGAATCATTAAAAACATATTCAACCGTATACTTGGCGAATTTTTGAGGGAATGACGAAATTTAAATTGCAACAGAACTAAAATCATTTGGGAATTATCAGGAAATATTTTTTTTAATTTAGGAAAGTGATGTTATATTAGTAATTATGTATTTAAAAATCTGACACTGGGTCACGTGATGGACTCAACCCTTCTCTCGCTCTAATGAGTAGTGGGGGTATCCAAAGAGGATTTAGGTTATGGAATTTTGTCATAACACTTCAATGTCCATAATAAAAACAAATCAGGAAGTATTTGACAGGTATAGAATTACAGACTGATAAATCCTGTTGTAGAAAAGTTATAAAAAAATCTACAAGTATTATAATAGAACTCTTTCGATTGAGCCTCTCTTACTGAAGTAGAAATGTTAAACATCATCTTTCATTGATTTTTATTGGTAATTTCTTACTTACTGCTTTAAACAATAATTAAAAACACGATTGTAGTAAGTATTTGTCTATTACCTTTGTTTATTTGTGTATGAAAAATAAAAATGTGAAATACAAACTTTAAGTAAAATTTTTTTAAACTATATATAACATATAGTTCAACATATATATAACTACATAACATTCATATAACTATATATCACATTTTTATAACTATATCGCACATTTATATAAGTCAATGAAATCTCATTTTCTCTGAAATATTTTCGAAAATTTCTTTGGAAAGGCGAAAATAAAAAAAAGAAATCCTATTAACTACAGAAATATATAGCATTTCTCATTGAAAGGTAACTTAAGGTAATTTAAGTAATTTTTTCGAAGAATAGTTATCAAATGTCGCATTCGGTCTCACAGCTCACTTAAATTGCAGCATGAGGTTTCACAGTTTGACTTGGTTTGCACGTATAGCTGATGTTTTCCTCTAAATCATCACAATGGATCCACGATCCTGTAGTACGAAGAATATATGGTGAAAAGTGGCCCGGCTCTGAAGTTTATAAATGTCCTTCTTCAACGTTTGGAAGCGACAGTCCTGGCTCATGATGGATGATTCCCACCAAACAGAAAATAAAAAATTTACATTGAAAAATCGCTTCAACAGTAACTTGCCTATAAGCATTATTTAAATTCCAGAATGTAAAAAATCATACCTATAAGGTCTCTTTAGATAAAGGTAAGGAGGAAAATCATTTAAATGACCTCCCATGGTTCTTAATTTGTTCGGAGGCCTACGTACATCTAAACTTATGCAAATGTGAAGTTTTAATGTGGTCTACTCCTTACCTTCATAGCCACATTCTGATCGACATTTCTTGTTATAATCAACTGTTCGATATTGAAGAGCTGTTTCCAAGTCTTTTTAACCATCTTCGAGCAGAATTCTCTCGTTCACATTAATCAAATACATTGGTGTGGGTTCAACGTTACAATCTGGATTTTTACATGTGGAACTTTTGCAATCACTTGGTTAGCCGGTCAAGAATCGTTCCCAAATGATAGCAAGTGAATCGACAGCATTGAGCCTGTATGGAAGTAGACATACCTGCGGCTTCGCGGCAATGTCGTATACTGTATTCAGGAGTCTCAACCGTTCCTGCTGTACTTCCGCAGTTTCCTCTTTTTTCATGAAAGAAAGAAGGAGTTTAATGGCTTTACTATCAGAGTCTTTAGCAAATGACTCATATAAGGGGTGATCGATCACACAAAATTCTAATATATGGAGAATTGAATCTAAACCGCAGGTATTGAGCGGACTGACTTTCACTCCTTTAGGCAACAGTTTTCTATTCACCTTCGATTCAAACTTCCAAAAGGGTTTACCATTAAGTTTTATTCTCAACGATTTGATACATCTGTTACCATTGGGGAATATTAATCCCTTTTTTAGAATTAATTCTCTGATTTTTAATTCTAAGTTCTTTATGATTTCAGAAATAGTAACCCAATTGCTTGCTCTTCTCATTCTTTCCAGTTTTCATCCTCTTCGTCATGCCATAATTTTTTGATTCCACATCTTCCACTTTTCTTTTATGCGATTGAATCTGAGCAAGCAGTTGTTTACCCTGATCGTCTTTCTTCATGAGTAAGAGATTCGATGAAGGGGTCTCACTTGAGTCGCTTATGGTGATGATATTCTCTTTATCAAAAATAGCATTATCTGATCGTATATTGCAATTTCTTTCGATGCTTGCATTTATTGAATGTTCCTTGGGCTGAAGTGTTGATTTGTCATTATTATGCCAATTAGTAACCTCTTTCAAAGTGTTACGGTCGTGAGATGCATCTGTTAATGCATATGAATGATCAGTCAAGGGAGTACTTCTGAAATACGGATGTATGAGAGGTAAAGTCAACAGAGTGGGTGTTTGGGAAGATAATAACAAGGGATGCGCAGAAACATCATCAGCCGTTGAATTGTATTTAATATTAATATGAAGTCGATACTTCATCCAGAGAACGTATATTTATAGAGAAGGTCCAACAACGGACAAGCGTGTGAACTGTCAAAAGCTAACAAAATGCGATGAGCGTGTTTCACCACAKCTASCTAAGAAGGAGAAATCTTAACAGTGGAGTGTGAACAGAGCTGAGCATTCAATGAGAATTATGCTCAGAAATATACATTCTTATTGCAGACGTATGTTAGCCTTTTGCATATAATTCTATACGTTTACATTCAATCATATTAATTGATATTGAATATCATTTAGAAAGTTTTTGTGAATGCATGTAAAATTGATAGCTTCATCATTAAATAATGCTATTTTCGAAGTAACATTTGTAGTTAATGTACAAATAAGAGCTACTTTTTAAATATTTCATATGTTTGATAATATATTATAAATTTACATATGAGTATGTATGCTATATATGTATATACATATATGACATACTATCATAATATCCTAAACAACTTATTATAATATATTACAATAATATTATATGCAAATCGTATTTCATATCAATATTCATACGTATCTACATATCAGCACATAGTTACATACATATGTACATATGTAAGTACAATTGAAATTCAAATCGTGATATTATCATTTATCAGTAAGAAGTGTGCGCGCACTGCTGCTATATGTACATACACCCATATGCATATGTGTACGACATTCCCACACAAATAATGCATACACAACATACATATTTATATGCGTTCTCATGTAGATATGTATGTCGCCCACAAAAACTACAAATATTATTCTGCAAAAACAAAAAACGTCTCCAATATCATTAGCAGCGTCACAAGTCAATATGGCAGCCAAATAGTCGATGCCCAAATTTGTAGAAAAGTACATAACAACAATATTTTCATTCATGAACGTAAGCGCGCTTTCAACAGGCAAACTTCTTCTTAATTGGCGTAGACACCGCTTACGCTATTATAGCCGAGTTAACAACAGCGCGCCAGTCGTTTCTTCTTTTCGCGACGTGGCGCCAATTGGATATTCCAAGCGTAGCCAGGTCCGTCTCCACCTGGTCCTTCCAACGGAGTGGAGGTCTTCCTCTTCCTCTGCTTCCCCCGGCGGGTACTGCGTCGAATACTTTCAGAGCAGGAGTGACCTAGCCAGCGAAGCCG